CAGCGTTGGCAGCCCCCTGTTCCCCGTGGGATTGCCCCGTTCCGTGAGCCTGTTAAAACCGTTTTCTGGTCTTACTCGCACACCTTCTGCGCTCTAAATGTAGTCTCCAAATAGTCGCAGATGCAGCTCTCCACTCTGGTAGGTTCTGAACTCTGTTCCGGCACACCGGGTGTGTCCTTGGTGCCGGCTGGGTCGTCATCTCGGCCGCGGCTGTGCAGGGTTCTGTGAAAGGCGAGGTTGTGCGTCATGGAGCTGAGCTGCCCATTTCCACGTGATGAGAGTCAGCACCCAGGGATGTTGCTGGAGCCTCCGTCACGCCCTGCACTCGTGTTTCTCCCGGTTCTCCAGATCGTGGCTGCCTGTGCGTGCCGGTGTGTTTCTGTGTGCACATATTCATGTCCACTTAGCGGAAAGGTGGTGTGACAGAGGGAGACACGAACACATCTTCCATCCTCTGCTTCACTCCCCAGGTGCCTGCAAACTCTGGGCTGGGCCAGGCGAGAGCCTGCAACTTCCGGTCTCCCAAGTGGGTGCAGGGACCCAAGCACTGGGCTGTCCCCCACTGCCTTTCCAGGTGCCTTAGCAGGGAGCTGGCATTGCAAATGGGGACATAGCCCAGGGTGCACAACATATGAATCTCGAGCATAAGGCAGTAAGTGACCGCAGAGGAGAGTCTCAGCGGACCCCCTTACCGTTAGCGGTGCCTCTTGTCCTCAGTACTCTGTTGTGGCGGAGGCAAGAGGCACGGAGTCACCACACAGACCCCGGGAGTTGGGTGAAAGCAGGCCAGAGGCGAGCAGCCCGCAGACTCTTTTATTTCAGTTACTACAGCTGCTTATATAGCCAACACAGCCAGTCTGGTCAAGGGGTGGTCTATGCCCTAACGAATCACAGCCTATTGCCAGGCAGTTTCTAAAGCCATCCAATCACAGCCTGTTGCCAGTCAGGCTCTGTTGTCATGTGGTTTCCGAAGCCATCCAATCACAGCCTGTTGCCAGTCAGGCTCTGTTGCCAGGCAGTTTCTGAAACCATCCAATCACAGCCTGTTGCCAGTCAGGCTCTCTTGTCATGTGGTTTCCGAAGCCATCCAATCACATCCTGTTGCCAGGCAGTTTCTGTTGTCAGTGGCCATCTTGGCATGACCTTCTCATTGCACCACAGTACTCGGCTCTGATACCAGTGTGTTCTGTGGAGTTTGTACGTGGGGCTCAGTCCTCTTGTTCTCACCCTCCCTTTGTCTTCTGCTAAAGCCGTGCTTCTCATCAACGCGTGCTTCTGCAGGTGTTGAAAACCGAGTCCTGTGGTTCTTGTTTTGACCCAGAGAGTTGGTTCTGTTTGTATTCACTCTAACAGCAGTACCCTTAGGTTTACCCAGGACATCTTCAGATTTACGTTCGATTGGACCCGCACATTCTGCTTCTCCACTGTCAATCTTCCTCTTTTTTAAAAAATAAAGATTTTATTTATTTGAGAGGTAGAGTTAGTGAGAAGGAGAGAGGTCTTCCATCTGCTGGTTCACTCTAAATGGCTGCAACTGCCGGTGCTGAGCCGATCAGGAGCCAGGAGCTTCTTCCCGGTCTCCAATGCGGGTGCAGGGGCCCAAGGACTTGGGCCATCTTCCACTGCTTTCCCAGGCCACAGCAGAGAGCTGGATCAGAAGTGGAGCAGCCGGATCTCGAACCGGCGCGCATGTGGGTTGCGGGCACTGCAGGCGGAGGATTAACCTGGCACCCACCCCAGCCTCTCTTGCTTTGGTAAGGTGGTGTTGTCTACTCCCCTCTGGGCCGCTATCAGCCCGAGTCACTGCTGCCACTCTGGGAAAAGCTGCCCGACGGGTTAGTTATGTTCACCCTCGCTTTCTGGTCTTTGTCCTGTGTCCCAGCTCTGCAGAGTGCTAACCCCCAAGGCCGTGCAGCACTCCCTCAGAGTTCCTCCTGCACGTCCACACCCCCACGTGTCCACCTGTGTCCATGGTGAGTCCGCGCGGGTCCGTCCGTGTCCGCCTGGTCTGGCTGCAGACCGGTCGGCCCCAGCACCACTCCAGCTTCCCGAGCCGCCTGGCTTCCAGCACCTTAATCAGCACGCGTCCGCTGCATCGGGTGGGTTTGCTCTGCGTCTGCCTTCGACACCCAAGGTTTTAAGGTCCGTGTTTTTGCTCAGCCTGGGAACACTGCCGTGTGGGTCCCGAGACCCTGAGCGTGTGAGAACGCGCTCAGGCCTGCTGTGCCGCCCCCCACCCCGGGGTGTCACGCCCGCCCAGGGATGGGGAGCCCCTCGCCCTGGGCCCCTGCTGCATATCGCAGGCTCCTGCCTCCCTGAGGCGTGATTCCCGGAGGGCTGCTGGCTCAGGCTGCTTCCGCGGCGGTGCTGTGCGCCATGCAGGGGCCGTGGGGCCGTGTCAGGATTCCGCAGAAGGCGAAGGCAGGGCTGCCCCGTGGTCCCGCCCTGCCCGGCCGTGCCGCCCAGAGGTTCGCCCGCAGAATCCGCGGGAGACGAGGCCTTCCCGCACTGCGCGCAGCGGCCGGCAGGGGGCAGCAGAGTCCACGGCCGCCGGGAGGAGCTGGTACCCGCGCGGAGGGGAGAGGGCGCCCATCACTGTGGGGGACCGGCCTTGCAGAAGCCCCTCCCTGGGCTGTGGAGCCCAGACGCACGAGAGGGGAGCCCCTGAAAACCCCAGATTCCAACCTGGGGGCTCCCCTGTAGAAACCGCGGTGGGGGCCGGGGAGGGGCCAGCGCGCACCTGTGTGGGTGCGGGGGTCGCGTCCGTGTGTTCTACAGCCTGGGCCGCGCTGAGGGGCCGTGTGCCGAGCGGCCGAAGCCCCCAGTCCTGGCCACAACCAGGCGGTGCCTTCCCTGTCCCGCGCTCCTGCAGGGCTCCAGGGCTCGCCCGCGGACTCTGGCCCAGTGGGTGCTGCGGGGCTGGCGGGGGCTGGTGCCGGCCCTGCCTGCTGTTCGCTCCCGGGGGGGTGGGGTCTTCGTGGCCCGCGCTGCTGGGGGCTGGTGGGGAGGGGGTGCCAACGTGCCAGCGCCCTCGCTTTCCCCGGTTCCCGGCGCACCGGGGTCCTCACTGCTAGCTCGCCTGATGCGTCCTCTTCCTCCTGCCTGCTTTGGGTTTATTCTCCCCTTTTCGGGGAACTGCCTGGCTGGCTTTATTTCCGATTTTACACCGAGTGCTGTGTTTCGCTGCTTTGCCGCAGGAAGAGTGTTTTAATGTCTGTGCGGCCTGCTTTCTCTGTGCTGGACCTCAGTATCTGAGGTTTCTCGCCGAGGGTGGGGTCCTGGGGGGGCCCTGGGGCTGTGGCCGTCCTCATCCGCGCTGACAGTTCCCGGGGCGCGGCTCCCTCGGCCCTGGACTCGCGCCTCTGCTCTGGGGCTCTGGGGCTGTGGACTTGGCACCGCTGCTGCAGCCCCGCTGAGCGCTTCAGCTCAGGCATCCGCGGGGCGGGAGCTGTCCTCCGCAGCTGCTCTATCAGATGGCAGTGCCGCGCCTCCGTTTCCTGTTGTTTTGTGTCCGTGTTTCCGTCCTTTTCATTTCCGCCTTCCTTCCCACCAGACGTGAAGCACGTTTCTGGGGAACAGCAGGTGGCTGGGCCGGCTGTCACTGGCGACTGGAGACCGCCTCGCCCGCGGCAGTTCCGGGCCGGCTCGGGTTGGGTTGTGCTGCCAGGAGCTCCTGGATCTAAGCTGACTGCATCCTAACTTGTTTATGGCGTTGGGGAGAGATCTCGTCACTCGTTCGTTCGTCTCTGCCATAGCTGCTGTCTCAGTCACTCTGGAGCGCTTTAAAAACTGGAAGATGGAATGTAAGAGCTTACTGTGGTGGAAGATTTGAAATTCGTGCGTACTAGGGATCTTCAAAACGTTCATGGGAAATCTCTACTGTGAAAACACATACATACGTTTCACATTTCTTTGGGCTCAAGTCAGGCTGCCTTCAGTCCCGTCCTCGGCCGACCGAGGTGCCCGTGCGCTCATTTCTTTGTTTTGCTGTGTGGTGCGAAGGCAGCCTCGGGGCTGGCTTCTTCCCACTCGATGACCTCGGCCGTGCTGGTGAGCACGCTGCGCGCTGAGCGGGGAAGACAGCCACAGGGGGTGCACCCGCAGAAGCTGAGGCCCCACACCCCTCCCACCGCACAGGCCTCCCAGGCTGCCCCGGCTGGGTGACAGGCAGCAGGAAGGGCTCCGCTGTGCTGGGGCCGCCTGTCTGCTGGTCTCCCGGCCACGACGCAGGGCACTTAGACGGTGGCGTTTCCCACCCGCTAGCCGCTCCTTAAATAAAGCCAGCTACGAGGCCGAGCGGACTCCACCGAGCGTTTGCAAGCAGGGAAGAAGTCTCCCATGCTCCAGACTTGCAAACACAGTGCACGATGGTGCGCACGCCGCTGCAGCTAGCCTGGCTCGGGGAGCACCCCGCGGACAACGCAGAGGCCTGCAGTCGGCTGGGGGAACGCCGGGTCTGACGGGGGCGAGAGAAGGGCAGAGGACCACTGTGCAAACGGGCAGACTGAATGCACTGTGTGGCCGCTGAACACAGGAAAGCCTTCCGCACTGTCAGACCCGTTTCATGCAGCCTGGAGAGGCTGTCCTACGAGACGCTGGGACAGGGAGCCTGGGGTCTCGTTGACGTCACTGGGGGACAGGACTGGAAGGGCCACGCGGGAGAGCTGCTTGGAGGTGTCCTCTGATGCCAGGCCTGCTGCGGCCCTGCGACCCGCACTCTCCCAGGCTCCCTCGTCTCCCACCCTCATCAGCCTGAAAAGAGACAGACGACTTCCCCCCACGCATTCCTGATGACGTAGCTGAATTAAAATCATCCCGGTCGGATGCTGGCCGAGCCAACATCAGATGGCCCCTGCTGTCTCGGTGCCAGTTACGGATCTCGGCTGCACGCCAGGGTGACTGGAAATGGAACTTAGACCTGTGCAAGGGAGGTAACAGCCAGGTGTTAGTCTGTCTCGTGTAGATGATGAAAGCTGTAACAACAGAAGAGCACATCGTGGTCATCTGAAGTCCATTTATTATATACCAGTATACACTTCCCATAATAAAAAAGTCTCCCAGTACACTGAACCATCTTATAAATGAAGTAAGAAAATAAATTTCATGTGTTCACAAGTGGGATTAAATTAATCAGGCGTCTGCCCTGCCGGGCCCGTGACCTCCGGCCCTGAGCGTGCGCTGCTGCTCCTGAATACGGAGGCAAGGGCAAGGCTGAGGGCCGCAGGGACGCGGCGCGAAGCGTGCGGAATACTTACAGGTATTCTTACAGCTCTCGACTGTTTGGATTCACCTTTAATATTTACTTAAATACATTCGGATTACACTTTCAGCATTTAGAAGACAGTGTTTCCACTTGGTTTGGACCCACTCTTGAGGGGACCCAGCATGGAAACACGACGTAAAGATGCTCCCAGGAGCAGCACTCGGAAGTCAGCTGTCCCGCAGGGCTCCGGCTTCCAGAAAGGAATACACGAAACAGCGGTTTCCCCAGCCGCCTTTACGACAATGTGAGATGCTCATCCCAGGTTCCAGTCGCTGGCGGCACTACGAGATTCCCGCGAGCAGGCGGAACGTCCAAACCCGCTAGTGCACACCACAGCGGTGAGCGAGGGCGACAGCTGCCCGTCTCCGAAGCACTGGCATCCGTGTTTTCCCAGGAGCCACTCGACGCTGCGCCACACGGCGCGAACGGCTCTCCAGGCTAAATGCAGTGAGTTCTGTTCTGGGCACTGAGAATTCCTGCAGACAAGGCACTTGCGTTCCCGGACACAGCGAAGCGCATCACTGAGCCGGACAGGCGCACGGCGGCGGCGGCCTGGTGACGGCAGGGCGAGGCCACACCAGCTTCCCGCGCTGCAGTGCAGTATGCGTCCATGCCAACGCAGCGTGGCAGATGCGGGTGGGCACTGTTCAAGGAAAGGGGCCGCAGGGGCAGGCACTTCTGGTTCAGGCCGCGGCGCTGTGGGCGCCGAGTCAGTAACGTCCCGACGTGTGCCAGGAACCCTCTGGTGCATGAGCCCTGCGGGGACGGGCGGACACGCCTCGTTGGCCCACGTGCCGGAGCCCAGCGTCTGCCGCAGGAGCAGGTCACGAGACCGCACCTGCTCTCGCCCAGGGCAGAAGTAGAGAGCGCTTTGCCAGTGCGGTGACCGTCACTGGACCCTGCCGCGCTCTTCTCTCCCACAGGTGTCTGGGCTGCAAGAGGGCGCGCGGCCTCCGCCCTCGGCTAGTGATGCCTGGAGGTGGGAGGGTTGTACACCCAGTCGATGACGATGAGGGCCATGCTGCCAATCATGAAGATGACCCCGGTCGCCAGGAAGATGACAGCCTGCGGTTCAGAGAGCAACGGTTAGGGAGCACCTGCCCTGCCCAGCCCTGCCCCCTTACAGCAGTGAGAACCCCGTGCAGAAATCCCGCCCTGAAGTCAGCAGCGTGCGCCTTGTGTGTGGCCGCACAGGGGACGAGGTGACATGAGCACGGGCCCTACGCCCTGCCCCGCGCAGGGGAGAGCAGCAGTGGAAGGGTTCGCACAGGAGCGACCCACGAGGTCGTCTTACTGATGGTCGGCTGATCGTGGGCCACCAGCAGGGCGGGGGCGGGGGGGGGATGCCCGGCTGTCCCCTGTCCCTGTGCCGGCCTGACAGTTGAGTGACTTCCAGGCAGAAACCGGGGAGTAATCCGGTGAGCAGCACTCGTGTCGGGCCCAGCGTGGAACTGTGGGAAGACGTTTCCCAGCACGGCGTGACTCCTGCCCGAGGGAGGCTGTGTCAAGGCTGCCCCCGGGGCGCAAACTGCAAGTACCACCCCTCCTTCGACCTTGCAGCCCAGTTCATACGACCGAAATGTCTGGATCCTTCCAGAACACTGCGAGGGCGGGTGGGCCTCTGCCCCTGGTATGCGAGACCTGGGAAGAAACCCTGGAGTCCCCGCCCAAGTCGAGAGGGGCGATGGACCGGGGTGTGGCCGGCTTTACTCACCCCCACCTTCTGGGGTGACCGCAGAGGCTCCTTCTTGACAATTCTCAGATAAAAAGCTGCTGGGAGAATGAAAATCAGCATCGTGGCCGAAGAAGCCCCTGGGGAGAGAAGTGGGCAGGGGAGCGAGTGAGTGGTGCACCGGGCTGGGCTGCAGTCCCGAGGCCTGTGGTGTTAAGTGAGGAGCCATGCACTTGACACAAGCTGCGTCCCACTCATGCCTCTGAGAGTAGGGATCTGGGACCACTCACTCTTCACTCTCAGGGCCACGCAGAGTTAGACGGAATACTTAGTAAGACAGGGAGCAGGAATCTGCCTGTCTGGGTCCACCCCAGTGTGCAGCACCTGGCTGCTTGGGAGAGGCCAGAGAGCCACAGACTAAAGGCCTGCTGACCCCAGCCCCCTCCTGCCCGCGCCGGGAGCTGCAGACGAAGGCAGCCCCCGGGACACACCTATGAACCCGAAGATGTACTTGATGGTGGGCACGAGGATGACCAGCGCGTTGTTGAGGGTGATGATCACGGCCGCGATCAGGACGTGCCGCACCCAGCTGAAAGGCCTTCTGGGAAACAGCAGCGTGCTCACCGACGTCCGGATCTGCAGGTCAGGGTCAGAGGGGCGGTTTTCCCATCATCCCGCAGCAAAGACTTTTGGGCCTTCCCTTCATGGTTTTGCGTACACTACACCTAGCAGTCTGTGCGTGTCTCCACCTGCTGCAGGTGCAGAGCTGTCACAGCGCCCGGGCCCACCTTCCCAGCTCTCGGAAGGAGCGAGGTAACCGGGTGAGGGATGCTCCTCCCATCACGGCGGAGAGAAAGCAGCGTGTCGTCCCCACAGCGCTGTGGGAGGAGCGTCCGCGAGCTCGCGTCGGGCTGAATCGGGCTGTTCCGCCTGACTTCAGGAGCAACCTGCTCCTCCCTTTGTCCCCGGAATTTCTCCCTCAGGGGCTGACACACAGCAGGCACGCGGTAAGTGTTGAATCAAGCTGAAGCTAGCCGTCTCCCCTCCCTGAGGGCCCGCACCGCCATCGCCCTACTCTGCAGGGGAAGGGGCGCTGAGTCCAGCCTGCAGTCTCCAAGGACGCGGTTCTGACACAGCACGCGCCTCCCTCCACGACGCAGGGGATGCTGGGGCTGACGTCTCGCCCTCCCACGGGAGTGCATTCAACAGAAGGAACGTGCAGCCCACCCTGCCATGTACAGGGACCGACGTGGGCGGGGGCCCCTCTGCTCAGCTGACCTCCCTTTCCTCCCCTGGTGCCCGCCAGCGGCTCCGGTGAGGAAGCAGACTGCCCTGAAGGCCCTGCGCGTGGTGCACAGCGGCTCGGTGAAGAGGGCCTGCAACACTGCTGTGCCCTGGCACACGCGGGCCCTCAGCTCCAGCACAGCACAGCCTGCACAACCGCTGCTGCCCCGGCTCAGGGGCCCGGGGTGACGGGAGGAGGAAGAGTTCTTGTGCTCAGAGTGACGGGACAGTGACACAGTAGTGTGGGGACAGAAGCAGTGAGGAAAGTGAGGTGGAGAGTGACGGGGGAAGAGGTTCTGAGTGTATCGGGGAGGGAAGGGAGCGATGAGGTGCCGAGAGTGACAGGGACGGGGGAGTGAGATGGAGGAAGAGGTGCCCCAGTGACATGGAGTAAGAGGGTCAGAGCTGAGAGTGCGGGGGGAGGTGGGGTTTGCAGAGCGATGTGAGGGGAAGGGGCTCCTGCAGGCAGGAAGGGGCCCAGCACTGCCCGTGGTACTCACTGGGCCCCGAGCGCCGGCCTGGGAGCGTAGCTTCCTGCAGTCCACTGTGGCGGGAGGGAGCAGCTGGGCTCGTCCCTCACAGGACCCTGGCTCCCGACCCTACTCCCCGAGCCTGGAAGGACGCTTGAGTCCCCAGAACCCACCGGGCCTGACCCAGGGTGGCCCAGTGTGCGGCCAGGGCAGGGGTAGCGGCCCCTCTGCGGGCTGTGGGGTCTCCCGGTGTGGAACGTTAACAGCATCCCCACTCCCAGTGGGCAGATTTCCACCCGCACTCACTCAGATGGGGGGATGCAACCCTCAGGAGGGACATGGGGCTTCCACATCGAGGGGAAGCGGAAGCCTCACTGGGCCTGCCCCTTCCCGTGACCGTGGGGGTCACACAGCAAGGCCCCTCGGTCTTCTCTGACCAGGGCCGCTGAGAGGGGAAGGAGGCTGCCGGGAGATTTCCCACATGCTGCCAGCTCTTAGCAGTCCAGTACCCCACCTTCCCATGATGGCCTCGTGGAAGTTAAGGTCTGGGTAGAGGCACCATGGAACTCCCAGCCAGGCTCCACTCGGCGTGTCCGGCCCATGAGGCACGTGGGAGTACCTTGGTTGCTCTTCAGCGTGAGGGCCCACACTCTATCCGCCCTCTAAATAAATCCTGCTCTCACCATGCTCTGTGATTACGCCTTTGTGGGGAAAAGAACTTGGAATAAAAGTAGCTATTCGCAGGGCCAGCGCTGGGGCACAGCTGTTGAGACCACCGCCTGTGATGCCAGCGTCCCCCACGGGCACTGCTCGGGGCCGGGGAGGAGGGCTGCCACGCGCCCCCCGGGAAGCTGGGAGTTTGGGGATGTTACCCTGCACGCTCTCCTCCTGCTGCGGCTGGCCTCTCAGAAGTTGGCACTGCTTTTAGGCTTAGGCTGTGGGCATGTAGGAGGCCGCAAAGTACAGGCCCCCTGGTAAGCTATGTCCCAGAAAAGGGAGGCGCCAACGCGTATCTGAGCACAAGGCTCCAGTTGCTGTGGCTCAACAGCCCCGCACATGCCCATCGGTGCTGGTTTTAACTCAAGCCACCCAGGACAACGTGACACCCAACGCAGTGCCACGCAGGGCAACCCCGGCAGAGGCGCTGTGGCGGGCGGGAAGGTGGAACACACACCAGGCAGACACCACCGGTCTCCCTGTCAGCCTTACAGGCAGCAGGCCCAACAGGGAGACTCCGGGGAGTCTGGCATGGCGAGAGACCGCCTGGGAAAGCGAGAAGCCTGCGGAGGGCCCGCGTGTTCTTCCTGCTCTGCAGGGCCGCAGCCCCGGCTCTGCTTTCCGGGTCTGAACCTAAAACATCAGGAGCTTGGTCTTTTTCTCACCCGTTGGCAACACCACCTAGAAGCACTTGCCGAGTCTAGCACAGGACAGATCTAAGTGCCTTTGAAACGCTCCTGGGCGTCGCGACCACGCACGCTGGGGAGGACTCACCGGGAACAGGACGATGGGCACAGTCAGGGTCACGGCCACGAGCACGGCCAGGCGCACCATGAGAAGTAGGACGTCGAAGGTGTACACTCTGCTGTAGGCGTGCAGCAGTTCGTCCTCAACTTCTCCTGCAAGAGGGAGGGGCCACTGGCACGTGTGGCTGGGCCAGGATGCAGGACAGCAGGAAGGCCCCGGCCGGGACTAAGACACTGCTGTCCCTGGGCAACCTTTGCTCACAGGCGGAGGGGCCTGGGCTTAGGAGGTCACAGCCACTGAAACTGAAAGCACCTCAGGGCCCCGAGACCTGAGAGATCTCTGCTCCCAGGAGCTCCACCAGGGCAGGCGGAGGGGCCTGGTCCAAGGGGATGGAAGGCCCAGCCCACTGGCCTTGTCTGCCCTGGCCCTGGTAAACAGGACATGTGCTCCCACTCCGTGCACGGGAGCCTTCAAGTGTCTGCTGTCTTGGGAGGCTCGGCCATGAGGCTGAGTGACAGGCAGGGATGACTCAGGGCGGCCTCCCGCGGGCCTCCAGGGACCCCGTGGCTAGGCTGACACGACTTCTCCTTGGAAATGCACCCGTCCTGATTCCATACGCCAGTGGCGGGGAGATGTGTGTGAGGTCACAATAGGAGGGACACTTCCCATGGCCTCTCAGGACACTCAGCCACCCTGGCCTGACCAGGTCTGAACCAGCGGAGCTCACCCCAGTGCAAAGTGAGGGCCTGGTGGACACTCGGACCTTAGTCTAACAGCAAGCCGTGGCCCAGGCCCCGACGTGCACCAAGTCAGCAGGTGGAGTGCTGAAAGGGCGGGGACCGGGGCCCCACCCCTGGCCCTGCGACATGGTCGGCGAGAGTTCTAGACGGTCCACATATGGCTAGGCCCGCCGGCCAGGCTGGCTCAGGCCGTTCTTCCTCTGGCAGGCACGAAGGCTGGCACGGCACGCCGAGCGGCCACGTGTCCGGAGGGGCGCCACCTACCGTAGAAGGTCAGGTAGCCAAAGAGAGCGGCGAGCAGGTACATGACCAGCATGCCCGTGATGGAGACGTTGGACACCGTCTGCATCCTCCTCCGTGACCGGCTGCGAGGAGAGAGCACACGGAGCTGCCAACACAGCCCTGCAGCGTTCCCGTGCAACCGCGGAAGGACGCAGCCCGTCGGCGCGCTCAGCGGACCCAAGCCCGCGCTGATCCTCCCCACGTGCTGCCCCTCCCTGGGCAGGCGCTGCCAGTGCAGCGAGCAGCTCCGAGCGCACCGCGTGGCGGCCGTGCTCGCTGCCGGAGGCCTGACGGTGCCGCCCGCACACCTCTCCAGCCCACCCTACAGCCCCCAGGGCCTGCGGCCGGTGGCAGGTTTCTAGGGTAACCGCTACGTGCACTTCGCAAAGTGCTCAGACGTTACGGGGACTGAAAGTGCTCTGCACTCTGTCCGGAGGCAGCTCTGGCTTTGTGGGGAAGCTCCCTCCCTAGCAGCCACGTGCCTGGGTGAGGCGCCGAGAGGGCCCTCCCGGCTCAGACCCGGGCCCCCAAGGAGCTCCCGGCAGGCTTACTCTTTGAGTTCACTGTAGATGGGCAGGACCTCGGGGTGGCACACGAAGGCAAACGCGAGGATGGGAATCGCGTAGGCTGTCTGAAAGACAAGGCAGCCACGCGCTCAGCTTGCCAGCACCGCCAGCAACCCCCGGCGTCTCCGCAGCTGGAACCGAAGGTCAGAGGCCACACGGCCAGGCTGTCCCTTACCCGGGAGTTGAACACGAAGTACTCGGGCTGGCAGTTGCGCTCGCTCTGGGCCTTGTATTCCATGCTGCTGGCCCTGGCCTGGCTCTCGCCAAGCCCCGTGGGCTCACGCTGCGTGAAGTCCATCATGAAGTTCACGCCCGTCCTCTCGGAGCCGTTGGGCAGGACGACCATGTGCACGGGCGCTGTGTCGTTGACGGTCAGATTCCCCACGCTGTGCCCCAGGTCCGGCAGGGGACAGGGAATCTGGAACTTCTTGTAAATCACCTGGATCCAGTCATTTTAAAAAGTCAGCCTTTTGTGGAAAAAACAGCGCAATGAAAAGCTCTACGTGAGGCTTATGGGGCGGGAGTGAGGGACTCGGCTCCGAATTCCTGGAGGCTGGACGGTGCCCGGCTGACCTCACCCCGGGCCTGGGTGCGCCCTCCGCTGTGAGGATTAGCGTCACCCAGCCAGTTTGTCTCACATCTGGGGACACCCTCTGAAGTCTGGAGCCCCAGACACCACACGGGGCCCCACGTCTCTGGTCCCTCTGCGGGCAGGACGCGTGGGGGAACACAGCTGGCGGGGGCGGGTGGGGCCTGCCCTGCTCTCTTCCCCCTCCTGTCTGAAGACTGGGTTGTTCCCACCCAAAGTGTTCCCTCCGTTCAAATATACAGCCAGGGTTTCTAGAACAACCTGCCAGCATCAACCCTGCCATTCTCCCTCGACTGTTTTATACTGCTCTCTGCTCGGGCCACGCCAGGGTGTGCTGCGAGCGTGAAGCACGGCGAGAAGACGAACGCGGGCACTGAGAGCCGCCACGGCCACAAGGCACTCACCACACTGACGAAAAACACCATGCAGGTCAGGGAGAACCCGCTCGTGTAGCCCAGGTAGCCTGCGAGTGGGCAGACACGGTCTATGGAGCGAGCTGCCGGCCAGGACCGCTCACCTGCAGGCCAGGAGACGGGCACGGAGACGACTTTACCTAAGTTTTTCAGGAGAGACAGCGGGAGGATGACGGCCACAGACACGAGGACGACGAGGTAGTTGCCGTTCAGGTACCACTCCCTGGGCGAGGAAGAGACGGGGGTGAGGGCCAGCCGGCCCCGAGGCGGGTGGGGGCGCAGTGCCTGTGCGGACGCAGACGTACCCACTGTTTTCTTCCAGGCCCATGAAGGTACGGATGACTTCCGGAAGCTCGTACTTGATGATGAAGAGGTAGCTTGACATGGCTGAAATGAGAAACACACAACTTAGGGGCGTGTCCCCCACGGTCATGGGGGTGGGGGGGACTCCTGGCAGTAAGAGGGGCATTGGATCCCTGGCACCACTGGGATCGGCACCACGGCCGACCCCAGTGAAATCCAGCTCCTGACGGTTCTCGGGACAGCTGCATTTCCAGTCACAGGGCCTGTCCTGAGTGTGTCTGGCACCCAGGGGCATGTGCCGAAACGAGGACACCAGGGCAGGGCCCCAGGGACCAGAGGCGCCCGGCCTGCGTGAGGGACGCCCGTCTCAACCCCGAGGGGCACACAGACTCGGAACCTTGCAGAAAGAATGCAAGATGGGGGCCACTTCCCTCCCCTTCACAGAGGCTTTTTACCCTCTCCATCTTGGTCTCTCTTTGGCCAGCAAAGAAACTACACCAAGGCTGGCGCCGCGGCTCACTAGGCTAATCCTCCGCCTTGCGGCGCCGGCACCCCGGGTTCTAGTCCCGGTCGGGGCGCCGGATTCTGTCCCGGTTGCCCCTCTTCCAGGCCAGCTCTCTGCTGTGGCCAGGGAGTGCAGTGGAGGATGGCCCAAGTGCTTGGGCCCTGCACCCCATGGGAGACCAGGAGAAGCACCTGGCTCCTGCCTTCGGATCAGCGCGGTGCACCGGCTGCGGCGGCCATTGGAGGGTGAACCAATGGCAAAGAAAGACCCTTCTCTCTGTCTCTCTCTCTCACTATCCATTCTGCCTGTCAAAAAAAAAAAAAAAACTACACCAAGTGGCAAAATTCCAGGAGCCTCTGTGGCCTCAGCGTTAGTGCTGAGGCCTCCATGACCCCTCCCCTGGGAAGATGAGTCCCACACGTGCACCACTGCTACTGGGCCACAACTGCAAGGACTCACGCAGCACCCGGCCTGGGTCTGCCCACGGCAGAGCCGGATGCTGACTCACTACCGACACGCCATCAGGACACAATCAGAGAAAACGGATGCCTTTAGCGTAGAACCTATGGGTGCCCCGTCCTGCTGTGGCTTGGGCTAGCAGGCACTGACAATGGCTCTGTGGTAAACTCAGCTGTTCGTGGTCAGGGCCATCCTCCCCTCCCCGGGACAGCAACGATGGTGCATCGTCGGCACACCACTCCCAGGGGTCGTCTGTGGTCTCTGACTGAGAGGCTGAGTGGCACACGCAGGGCCCCCGACTTCTGGGCAGGAGCCCCCCCACCTCTGCTGTCCGCGTGCCATGATTCTGCAAGAGCTGCTGTGGCTCCCGTGGGGACTTCCTGCTGTGGCACAGTGGGTTACACTGCTGTCTGCAGGGCCCACATCCCACAGGGCACCCTGTCCAGTCCTGGCTGCTCCCCTTCCAAACCAGCTCCCTGCTAACGCGACTGGGAAAGCAGGGAAGATGGCCCAATCCTGTGGGCCCCTGACCCACACAGGAGACCTGGATGGAGCTCCGTGCTCCTGGCATGGCCACCTGGAGAGTGAACTAGGCAGATGGAAGGTTTCTCTCTCTCTCTCCCTCTTTAACTCTGCCTTTCAAATAAATAAAATAAATCTTTAAAAACAAAAGAAACACTGGGCTCTGACTGTTCTCACTGCTTTGTCTGCTGTGTGCACCACCTGCTGATCCCCTAGAGCCCGTGCCTGGGGCTCCTGCTGGCAAGAGGTGCTGCTGCCTCCACGGCCTGCAGAGCCTCGGACCTGTGCGGGCAGCGTCTGCGTTACTGTTTAACACCTGTGCTAAAGGACTGAGGACGGGAATGCTCTGGAGTGGACTTGCGCAGAATAGAGGTGCCAAATGTCCACGAACCATCCAGGGCGCCCAAGAGACGTCCACTCCAAGCCCGGGTACCAGAGACGTGAAACTTCTCCGCAGTGCATGGAGTCACCTCACGCTTGGTCCAGTTCAGGCCTCTCGACAATGAAGTAAGCAGGGAGAGCCCGCGAGCTGGAGCTCACCTGGGTGCGGCCGCAGTGGTCTGTGCCGTCGAGGGCTGGCCCCTGCCGCAGGCTCGGCAAGGGCCTCTCTAGCCCGCTCCAAGGCGACGCCACCCACCGAGGCTCCCACGCTGGTGCCCTGGACAGTGAGTGGGCCTCTCTGGGTGCCCAGGGTGGTTGGTGGGCAGCTCTGCGTGCTCTAGATGGTTGGTGGACATCTCCTGGGTGCCCTGCACAGTTCGTGGACATTTGGCACGTGGGACTTTCTGGTTCTGGACGGTGGACTCAGCAGGGGGGCTTGTTTTCGAAACCACCACTGAAGCCACCTTGGCGTCACACATCCAGCAGGGCCACTCTGTTCTGCTGTCCTTGTAGGTTTTCTGCACTCCCTCCTCCCCGAGCGCTGCTGTGTTTGGTGGCAGAGCAACAGCGAGTCTGCTTAGGAGGCACAAGAGGCCTCCGACGTGCAGGGTGCGGGCCGAGGGAGGCCGGCCCCTCTTACCTCCCATGTTCTGCATCGTGATGGAAACAAAAGCTCCGATCTTCCCGGGCCATCCAAAGGCTCTCTCTCCTAACTTCTCATAAATTAAAGACCCTACACCAAAGACAAAAGAGCCTGGTTACAAGGGTCGTCTGGGGCCGGCGCTGTGGCGTAGTCAGCTAAGCCTCCACCTGCAGTGCTGGCATCCTGTATGGGCACCAGTTCGAGTCCCAGCAGCTCCACTTCCAATCTAACTCTGCTGTGGCCTGGGAAAGCAGCAGAAGATGGCCCAAGTCCTTGGGCCCCTGCACCAGGAGACCCGGAAGAAGCCCCTGGCTGTTGGCTTTGGATCAGCCCAGCTCTAGCATTGCAGCCATGTGTGGAGTGAGCCAGCGGGTGGAAGACCTCTGCCTCTACCTCTGCCTTTCAAATAAATAAATAAATAAGTGATTGTTTGCATGACTGCAATATTCCTCACAACCTGATTCTACACTGAAGTCTCAAGTGTGTAAATAAAAATCATAAAGAAAAAATTACCCCAAAGATGCAACCTCAAAACCAACCAAGCCTTGTACAAAAAGAGCTCTCCACGCAGTGGCGCCGTCTGTTTCAGCCACATGCAGCAAGTCGAGGCCGTCTTTCTACCGTGTACCCCAAGTCTCTCTGGCCGGACCTGAGTCAGCGACTCACTCGTGCCCTTCGCTCTTCCATGTAGCCCAACCAGAGACGCCGTGGCTGTGGTGGAGCAGGGCGGCGGGTGGGCCTGACGGGCATCACCCCAAGGGAACTGGGACGTGGGCAGCGTACCTCCCTCCTTGGCTGTCTTCAACAACAGGTGAACCGAGTAGAGGGATAATATGGCCACAGTGAGCAGCAAGATTCTGTGGAAAACAGGGAGCCAAACAGGGAGTCCATGATAAATGCGCCACCACAGCCTGAGCGGCCATGGCCACCACGGTAACGACCACACCAGTCTTTCTCAGCACTGACTTCCCAGACCAGCGCACCTGAGGGGAGCCGAGAAGTTCTGCAACACACACATTCCAAGCCAGCTACTGGAGTTCCCTGTGTATCACGGAGATGCTAAATGCAAAGCGAAATGAGCAGATCCTGCGTCCACTCACCCAGCATGCATACACGTCCCTCTGCAGGACTCCTGCCAACCGTCCCACCCCACCCTGGTCTGTGCAGTGTGAGCTGTGACCACTGACCCGGAGCCAGGCAGTCGCACGTGTGACAGACAGCGGACAAAGCTAGCGGCAGGGGAAGTCCTCCGTCATGGGCGGAAAGACGGGTGCAGTGAGCACTGCCCGTGTGCGCACTGACGGCTGTTTTCCCAGAACTGAGACTCAGGGCACCGAGGCACGAGTGCAGGGACGCACGTGTGCACAACCAAGAAGGGAACGGCAGGCGTCTCCACCTGAAATTTAAAAACCTTTTCTCTACGTAACGAGAACACACTGATCACGGCCAGTCAACTGATCTCATTTTTGACAGTTCCCAGCGAATTCAGGGGTGCAAATGTACACTTGGACCCTGAGTTTTGAATTTCATAACCACTCTAGTGATACTGCGCTCTTGTTTTCCAGAAAAACCGTGTATTTTTCCATATTCCTCATGAATGTAGCTGTCTGTAAAGAACGGTGCGTGATTCTGCTCTCCGTGAAACACGGGCACTTGCGTATTAACATGTCCTTGCGGTGGCACAGACGGGAGCGCGGTGCCGCCCGCTGTCCACCAAGGGGACAGCTGCATCTGCCTTGTGTACAGCACTTCAGCTGCTCTGTCCTAGTCACAGGCCTGCAGAGGTTCCCGAGAACACGGCTCGTCGCTCTAGGCCGTCTCCTGCCTGCGTGGGTCAGCGAGCGATGACCCCCTCAGTGCACTGCGGGGTGCGTATGACGACAAAGACAAAGCGTCCTGTCCGGGAGGGCCACGACACAGATGCATCAGTCAGTGAACACCTACCCAGCCAGTAAGCGTCAAGTCATACAACCACGCGTTCTGACGGAGCTTTCGAAGGCAGAGCTGCTGCAAAGCCCATTCAGCTCAAGAACACTGCGTGAAGCCGGCCCGACCCCAGTGCACCCCCTTTAGGGTCCTGACCGTCGGTCTGCGAACAGCTGAGCGCGTGCAAGCTGGCGCCCCGGATCTAACGCACACGCATCTGCAGCAGAACGCTGCCTCCTCAGAGGGTTCTTCGCTCTCTAGCTCCGCACCCAGGGTTGGGGCCTGCACTTGCTCGGCTGCCTAACACCAGACTTGACTCCTGCGAAGAACTCCACTGTGCCAGCTGTGGCCTGGGGCACTCCAGGCTGTGCACAGGCACTCACACCTTTGTGGCTGCCCATCAGCGACCTGACGCTGCCACCAGTAGGAACAGGTGTGGTCAAAGTGCAGACGCGTAGCAGTAAGCTGGGGGCACCGGGCAAACGGGCACAGTGCCGGGCCTGGCGACACGGTGACTCGCGGCGGACACGGCTCAGCGCGCGCTCTCAGCCTGCAGGGTGGCAGGTGTTCACCAGACCACTCAGACGAGCACACAGAAGTACTACAACGTGGTGGCTGACCAGACAAGGTGGGCGGAGAAGGCGGCACAAAGGCGAGGCTGCAGTGTGCTGGGCGGGGTGACCGGACGACCAGGAAGGGGACAGGGTTCTAAGTCCACGCAGAGAGGCCTGTTGGTCAGGCAGGCAGAAGGCCAGCGCCCCGTGACAGATGGGACAGGGCACCCAAGGCTCGGAGGCCAGGTCTGAGATGTTTTCCCCAAGGCTGTGGTGACACCCAGGTTGCTTCTGGGAAAGCCGTGTTTGCTACTAACGCCACTGACTGTGAGTGCCTCTCGCGCAGCACCCCGCCCTGGGCCCAGAGCGGGCCCACACATCCAGCGGGCGGTGAGGGTGGCTGGCGAGCACCGGCACCGGCACACTGGCTGTCCTGCTGGCTGCTGCCTGGTCCTCACTGAGCCGCCCCCAGACCACACGTGTTCCCGTGAGTGACGGTGCTGCGCACGTGCGTGCTCACTTACATGAACAGCACGATCCCCGTGTTGGCCATGGCGTAGGACAGGCCCAGGATCCCGCTGCCCATGATGGCGTTGCTCAGGTTGAAGGAGGACATGCCGAAGGGGGTGGTCCCCGGGTGCTGGGGGGAAAGGGTGCCTGTGAGCACTCAGGCCCGCGCGCGCTTCCTGCTGCAGGACCCCACCGGGAGCCCAGTGGCGGCATCAGCAGAAGGCAGCGCTGGCCGCGCACAGGTGTGACAACATGCCGCGTGCAGGCAGAGCCGCCCCGGCGGGCCCGGCAGGCAGGCGCAGCTGCGGGTTACGCTGGGTGAGGGCCCCCTCTCCAAAACACAAATACGGTTCATCAATGATTGATGCGGCCATATGGCGAGCAGCAAAGTACGCCCTCGTGCCAGCAAAGGCCTGACAAACAGACAATGTGCTGACCACACTGGAAAATCCCGGCCACGTGGTCTGCCCTCGGAGGCCCACCCGCCCCCCGCCTGGCCTGCCTCCCGTGGAAGCAATACCCACTCACATGTTCGTCACCGTAGTCCGCCAGCTGCTTCTCGCCCAGAAACCCACTCGTCAGGAACTTCTGGCCCTCGGCACCGTCACGGGCGAGCTGACTGCACACACAGAGGAACAGGCCTCCCGTCAGCGCTCTGCATCACACGGGCTCCCGGCTCTCCCCGGGAGTCCCCTTCAGAGCGAGGCCGGGTGCCACTTACGAACCGACACGGGAGGGGAGGGAGCGCCATGCTAGGAGACGCGGCCGTCTGTTGCGGGCTAGAGCCCCAAGGCCAGATAAAGAGAAGATTACTTATTTGAATGGCGGAGCAACAGAGAGAGAGAGTTATCTTCCACCTGCTGGTTCACTCCCCAGAGGCCACAGTGGCTGCGCCAGGCGGAAGCAGGAGCTCCACCGGAGTCTCCCACGTCGGCGCAGGCGCCCGGCGCCCGGCACGGAGGCCGTCACCTGCTGCTCTCTCGGGGGTGTGGCCAGGGAGCTGCACAGGAAGCGGAGCCATCAGTCGGGACTCACAGCAGCATAACCTGCTCTAGCCCTCGTCGGGGTCTCACTATGCAGCAATTTTCCAGTTAACGCCTCCGAACCGGGGGCGTCTTCCCATGTGCTGTGTGAGAGGGACTTTGAGGGCCTTCCTCCGAAGAGGAGGTGACCACAGCTGAGAAGGTGTGGGCAGCAGGCCCAGTGCCAGGCCCCAGGCCTGTGGTCCCGGGCAGGGCCCTGCTGCTGGTGCCTCCTCTCCCACGGCTCCATCTACTCAGGCACGGAAGCCTCTAGAAGCGGCTCTGCGACAGCTCTCAGCTGCGTGTGCCTGGCTGCTTCTGCGTGCACACATGTGTGTAATGACTGAAAAGGCTCCAGGTGATGACGGCACACTGTCCACCTGGATCCTGGTCTACTCAGGCGCTGGCTGGAGCTGCACGCTTGGTCACAGTGTCGCCCAGCTCCGGCAGGCAGGAGCCAGCCACGCTGCCAGGGCCTCAGGTTTGAGGCCGGCCAGTGCAGGGCACGTCCCGCAGCAGCGTACCCCGCGGCTCCCAGGTACTTGTCTTAGAATTCTCAA